TCTTCTACATTCACCATCGTTCTCTTGTCAACCTCCTCGTGTTCTTTTTTTTAATTTCTCAGACATCATCTACTAGAGATATCCCTAAAAAAAAAAAAAACTAAACCAGACTCTAGAGAGACCAACTTGTGGCAGGAAGCTCGTGATGCTAATTTAGATTCATGTTCTGGACCAATAACCAGCAGCATCAGAACCAACAGCTGATTTGCTGACGACACAAACTGAGCAAACATTTATCCTGCTTTCATGTCTTAGTCCAACAACACGACGGAGGTCCTGAACCTCCTCAGAGTGTCTGTCATGGTCCCGTTGCTGCTAGACTCCCACAATCAGGAAGAGACTCCACCTGGTGGAACAACCAGGTACTGCAGCTGGTCTACGATACGCCTCATTGGTTGCTATAAATGGATAAATTATGAACCAGGTGAAAAAACAGCTGATTTATTCATGAACTCTGGATGTTGTGCTACACTTTGGAGGCAGGCTTTCAGGAGTTAAACACCGTCCTCATACATCTGACTGACTAACTCCACATGATGCAAACTGTGCAAACCCCCGACTGGACGAAGCTTTTCTGTCCTTTTAGCCACATTATGGGCTGAATCTGAAGCATCATTCTGTCTTCTTCTGCTTCTCACATGTTCAAAGCCTTCTCCTCCGTCAGAGCTTCATCACCGTCCTCCTCCTCTTCCCTCCTGCATCCCAACACAGCCGCTGATGAAGCCCTCCTCCGTGCTTCCTCTACGTAATCCTTCAGCCACAGTCATGTCGGCATGTACAGTACACATGACCTCTGCACAGCACAACACGCCAAACACTATGTCAGAGCCGTTCCTCCATACGAGAGCCGTGACGCCGGAGTCGGAGCGTTGTGACGCAGATGAGAGATTGATTAGAGGCCGCCGGCCGAGCGCTGCTCAAAGCCTCCATTCATGAGCTGCACGCTCCAGCATGCTGCGACTCTGATCGATGCCGCCAACAGAACGCTGTGGTTCTGTCTGAAACGAGCAGCGCCGTGTTTCACCGAGCTGGACGGATCCTCACCACCCGGCTCCTCTGGTCCCTGCCCTGCTTTGCTTCTTGTCATTTAGTGTCATTTAGTGTCGCTTTTTGTCATGTTTTGTTGCTTCGTGCCTCTTTTTTTTGTCATTTTCTAATATTTAATGTCACTTTTTTGTNCTGCAGGATTTTATATTTTATAGAAAAATGAGTTTACAGTGAGGAAAAATGAGAAGCAAACAAAAAACAACCAGAAACTGGCCTCTATGGGAAGCTCCTCTCACTAACTTCCTCACAAACACTCTGATGTTTGCAGATAAATCTCGTATTTATCAGAAGTACATCGTTAACATGTACACACATCCACACATAAACGCAGTACTCTGTGTATTTGTACTGTAGGTTGGTGGTTGCTGTTGGTGTCCAGCAGATGGCAGACGCTTCCTGCATTAGTCCACCACCACTCACTGATGATTCAGATGTTCTGCAGAGATTACAAGTTAGTTTGAAGCTAAACGTGTTCGCTGCAGACGACACGAACTCTGTTCTATTCTTCTGTCTCAATGTGAACAACGTAAGGAGGCAGAGACGTGAATGAACTTCACTCAGTTACTGTTTTATGCCATAAAATCCTCCTGAAGCTGCCTGTTGGTGATGAACTGAGCTCCTGACAGAGCTGCTCTGTGCCGTGTGGATGGAGTCGTGTGGTTCTGCTGCACAGAGGAGTCTTTGTGTCGCTGCTCTGCTGGACGGACGGCGTTCGGCCGTCCACCGGCAGCAGCAGCAGCAGCTGATTCGATTAGAGCTGCGCCGTCGACACCCTGCATTATGACAGAGGCCCCTCCCCCGCCTCGTCTTCATCATCATCTTCGTCCTCCCACCTCGTCTGAATCATCCTCGTCACACCAGACAGAGGCCAAAGTTTGAGCCTCTGGAACCTAAAAACCCACCGGCAGCTTTTAAATAGCGTGGTATTTAAAGAATTAAAAATCGCCAAAATTTGACAAATAGTCAGACAAAAAAACTGTAAAGACTAAAAAAATCTCCACATTTTCAGCTTCTAGGCGGTGTTTGAACTGATCTCATGTGAAGTGTAGTTCAGTAGAGAAAATTCACCAAATGCAAGTAAAAAATCATGATTTTTCATCAAAATTGCTTTTTTTTTGCACTTTTAAAAAATTTGCCAAAAATTTACCGTTTCCTCCGACAAGATTCGGGAAATAATAAAAAATTCTGCTATTCTTTCCACAACTGAGGAACCATGAGTGACTCAGCGGTCAAACCAAACCAACCGTCTAAAATTCATTTTATTGTTTAATATTTGCAGTGACAGCAGCTAGCGCGCGGCTAATCCAACAATAAACGCATTAAAGTCCGTCAGTGTGAGGTGACGAATAAATCAGTCAATAAAATGAATTAAACCCGGTTCACACGGAGCGGATCAATAAAAATAGGAAAAATAGTAAAGTAAAACATCCTCTCTGGGTTTTAAAGTAGTGTTTGGTGCGACAGCTAATGAAATAAAACCATTTTTATAGTGTTTTATAACAATATACGCAGAATAATGACAAAACTTCTTTATTTACACAAATTCACTGATTATTTCCTTCATTTGGTTTAATTTAGTCACAGGACAGAGTTTCAGTAATTTTTCTGTGGATTTTCTTCACATTTGCAGCTTTTAGAAAGTAGATTTATGAATAAATAACAGAACAATTTTGTGTTTTTACACCATTTAATAACAGAAAATGTCCTATTTTCCACTATGAAATAATTTTATTAATAAGGATTTATCATTAAATATTAGAAACAAATGCTGGTTAATTTTCAAATTTTTATTTTTATTTTTTGATGCAGTTTCTG